CGGCTAGGTCATGTTACTGTGGCTCAAGGGATCAAGAAGAGAATCGACGAACCTGACGCGAAGGTAGAATTGGATTTGTTCAGTGATGCGCCAGAGATTGATTATAGAGCAGCTGCTTACTCACGAGTTAGTTATTTGAAGAAACCACCACACTGTATCTTGTTGTACGGCGAGTCTAGTGTAGCACCTATCGAACAAATCAATATACCGAAGCTTGAGATGGCGGCAGTGGTGTTAAATGTAAGGCCGAGTTAAGTCTTCCAGAGGGGTCTGCCCAAATTTTTCTGCGATGTGAACTTCCATACAGATTCCATGGTAGTGTTATACTACATTAAGAATACCGAAAACCGATATAGCACCTATATAGCCAACCGCTTTGCTATTTTACACCAGTATACGAAGGTTGGACAATGGAGTTATGTAAAGTCATCACAGAATCCAGTTGATTAGACCTCGAGAGGTATACAAAAAGTGACCGATCTTGAATCTTGGTTTTAATGTCCTACTTTACTGCATGGCGAATTTTGTATAACAGTGACTGATTGTCCGAAACCTACTCCTGACTATATTGAGTTTAGAAAAACTGCTGTGGTTAACTTGAGTAGTATAAAGTATGACATGTCACCTATTCTCTCATTATTCCGAGTGGTTGAAATTAGTCAGAGCTTTAACCTGGTTTGAAAGGTTCACAGAATACCTGGTGGTACTTCGTTTACCGAGTCGTGAAGGATACGTTCATCTAGGATATTTAAAGGTCAAAGAGTTTGACATCGCCAAGCGTAAGATTTTATTGATGGTTCAGAGAGAAGTGTATGCAGGATTACTTAGTGAATTTAAAAACAACGGTAAAGTAGTTAGTCATGATGATCTGAAAGGTTTATCACTGATAATGCTTGATGGGTTACTCTGCTTTGGGGGTCGACTAAGATTCTCGGATTTCCCAAATGCTTTTAGACATCCAATAATTTTACCCAGTCGACACTTAGTGACGGAAGTGATAATAAGACACTGTCATAAAGAACAAGGATACATAGAAAATTCATTAGAAAAAAGATATGGATATGTATTTACTTATGTGCAAACACGGGCTGTACATATTGAACTGATGTATAGTTTGAATACTGATTCATTTATAATGGCCTTATTACGTTTTATTGGAAGAAGAAGGAAACCTCCAGAGATTTACAGCGACAGTGGGTCAAGCTTCGTGGGTACAGTTTCTGAGTTGAGGAGGTTTGTGCAGCAGTCGAATCAGAAAATAAACATTTAATTGTCAGCGAGGCAGACTCATCCAGCCACAGGGTTGGAGTTTGGGGAAGGATGATTAGCTTGTAGCGTGGCGTCGAGTTGAGATTAACTGTGAACACCGCTACCAAGAAACACGTGCCAAATAGATCAGAAGGCGTAAGAAGCTCGTTCCAAATGACTCCATAAAATCCCCGAGAAGCCAAATATCAGAAGACAGTTAATGGACCAAATCGAGGTTTATTTGCTGGCGATCTCGTGGCATCGAAAGGATACCGAGATCGTGCCAGGATACAAGCTTGGTTACAGAATGTAACCGAATTCGCGCGAAGTCACAATCAAAGTGCAAGAATAATAATGGAAGCACAAAATAGCTGTCATTAGCACAGTCAAACAAAAGCACATTAAAACAAACACTGGTACAGTTGGTTATAATAATAATTGTTTTTATTAAACCAGTCGTGTTCTCGTGATAAACGTGAGTCACTACAGGAGCCCCCCGCTACAAAGGGTCTACACTTTCGATAAATAGCGGTTTGAATCGTGGGACTGATCAGCTGACGAGCGATTGTAGGACGGAAGAATTGGCGAACAGGAAAGCGATCGTTGATCGTCGAGTTGCCAACGAAGGTCGTTTTCGGAGAACAGTACCAGGAGCGATGTGTTGTATTTATTGCTCGAGTTGGCATGCTACACCAGAGTGGTTTGTATCCAGAATCTGAAGAGGGCGTTCGTAGAGGTGCGCACCAGAAACGCTGCAGACGTAGGACGAAACCACGTTGAGCCAAAAGACCAGAAGCGACCGTAACGACCAAGTTCGAGACCAAGCGTATGCCAAGCATTCGAAACCAATATATCGACTGAGTACGTTGACAAGAGCGTAGGTGGCCAATCCAGCTTTCTCCAAAGTTGACTGAAGTCGACGGAACCAAACGGAGATGGTCGAAGGCGTGGGCTCAGGAAACAAAAAGAAAATCAAAAAAAAGAGGAGTGTAGCATGCATGTAGCATAGGAATAACCCTACACCGTATCGGTTGTTGACTGTGCGACTAGTCGCGGAAGCGTACGGGCAACCGTACTCGGCGACCGGAACGTGAGACGGCAGTCTCGTTCGTATCGCGTGAGCCTGCAATCTCATCCGAGGTCAGAGGCGGCGTGGTCTGCTGATCTGGACGTGAGACTATCGTCTCGTCCGTAGACGGTGCAGATGACGCGTGCTGTTGACCGGGACGTGAGAATGAGGTCTCAGATGCATCTAGCGTGGGACCTGAAGAAGATTTAAGGATCCCGCTAGGTTTGATAGGTCTAGCATTGAATCTCAGGGTGTCAGATAGGGCACTGTCGTCGACGTGTGCTGGTTTGAGACGATCAATGCTGACGATCTCGACGCGTCCATATCGATCAACCTTGAAGGTCTTTTCGTGACGAGCGATCACGTGAAAAGGGCCTTCGTAGGGTTGTTGCCAAGGTTTGCGTACCGAATCTACTCGTACAAAAACATGTGAACAGGTAAATAACTCTCGAGAGAGAGCGACCTGTCGATGTTGTATTCGAGTTGACACCGGAGACAGCGTTCGCATAAATGCAGACAGTCGATGGACGTAGTCTGATTTACCGAAATTAGGTCTGCTCCGTGGTGTGAAGAATTCTCCGGGCAGACGCAATGTCGTGCCGTATACAAGTTCAGTGGCGGAACATTGGATATCTGCCTTTAAGCTCGTTCTCACCCCTAAAAGAACGAGCGGTAAGGTTTCGTGCCAGTTGCCGTTTTCGTGTGCTCGTAGAACACTTTTAAGTTGGCAGTGAAACCGTTCAACTTAACCATTTGGTGCTGGGTGGTAGACGGATATGCTTATGCGTATGCATTCCGTACCAAGCAGCCGGGTCAGCGAGGAGAATCGTTAATAGGGTAACATTACTCGAATAAAGCGTGGAATTCATCATCACGCGAATAAAAAGTGACAAGGATTCGGTACACATACGTGTGAGTCTATTATATTAATACTATTCTTATCGTTATCCGTCATGTCGCGTATATTATATATTAAAAAATATGAAAATATACGACAGACGTGGATAGATAAATCATAGACTCACCGAATTGGCTTCTTTGGAAGATTTGATCAGAAGTTGAGGCGTGTTCCAAAATACTTGTCACCAATTGTAGCGTGGCGTAGAGTTGGGATTAACTATGAACACCGCTACCAAGAAACACGTGCCAAATAGATCAGAAGGCGTAAGAAGCTCGTTCCAAATGACTCCATAAAATCCCCGAGAAGCCGAATACCAGAAGGCAATTAATGGACCAAGTCGATGTTTATTTGCTGGCGATCTCGTGGCATCGAAAGGATACCGAGATCGTGCCAGGATACAACCTTGGTTACAGAACGTAACCGAATTCGCGCGAAGTCACAATCAAAGTGTAAGTATATTAATGGAAGCACAAAATAGCTGTCATTAGCACAGTCAAACAAAAGCACGTTAAAACAAACACTGGTACAGTTGGTTATAATAATAATTGTTTTTATTAAACCAGTCGTGTTCTCGTGATAAACGTGAGTCACTACAAACTTATGAGCAATAAAAGGATTTTGTGCTTGGAAATCGATAGCAATTGATATTGTATATATGTTGACATTGTTATTATCTTTGGTTCAAGTTAGAAAGTCAGTTAATATTTGTTTAATGTACGTATATGTTGATTTCTTCAGTTATCATATGCTCAGCTTCAAATATCGTGTGGTCAGAAGCAATACCACTTCAAGGTCACATATTTACTTGCTACGAACCGGCTCTGCCTGAAGTATTCCTCCGTACGACGTGAGGATAGCCGTCTTAGCTGACTGTTTCAGTAGGAGGTACGATAACAACTTACATATGATCTAGCTGTGGCTGGTACGTTTCAAAACTTACTATCATTAATATCCTCATCATTACTACTAGTAGCTTATTCCTACTTATTTTGCTGCTCTCTATATCCGTTTATCTGGTTTTCTTGCAAGTTTTTCCACTTACATTGTTGGGGTAGTTATGTAGATCACCAATACTGATGATGCGTTAACTCGATTTAGGCGGGAATTGCGTGACTCACCACCTAGCTTACGCAGAAGTTACATCCAGTAAAAAGTTTTCACCTTGTCTCACTCCATTACAGTAGCCAAGTAATGGGACTGCACTAGTCACTGCCAAGGAAAAATAGAACCTTATTAAAATGGAGTATGTCTTTATGGATAGCAGATTGGAGAGGTGTGGCGTAAGGACATTGATGGATGGGCCTGAGAAATTTATTGATCCGTGTCAGCTACCTATGACTTTGAAGAGGTTTGATAGACCGTTTGGCGCCCAGTATCTCACCAATAAACGTCGTAGCCATTCGATGTGACGGACGATTTGACTAGGGCTCAGAGATATTTTCTGATACTACAAATCTATAAACCTCTTGTAACCATTGTCTTTCCTCTTCTCCTCTGGATTCTATCGTATGGTTTTCGCAATGCAATCTAATATCTTTCTGCTTAGCAATGTGATAGCTTCTGGTTCTATCAAACTTACTTCCGTGTAACAAAAGCATTCAATTGTATCCAAGTCATATTAATCCCAAAGAATCTATAAATTTCACAAAGAGTAGAGCACACGAATGCCTAGATGACCCACAATGAAGGATTGTAGGAGCCCGAAACCATGCTTCACTTTCAAGAAGCGAGGTGCAAAAGACTAAGTAGCTTACACGAGCTCGCGACGAAGATATTGGGTATTGAATAGCGCATATTCTAAACTTGTCGTTACGGAGAAGGGTTTTTCAACCGATGGTATTTTCCTTTCTTATTTTGCAGACTTAAATGTTTGATAGACTAACGAGAGCGTAATAGAAGCATCGAAATGCAAACCAGAGGTCTTGGACAACACAGAGAAAATGGATTGTGATCAGAATACTCAGTTGTCAATGGTCGTAAATATACCGACTCCTCCTGGTCCTCAATGCTACTGGTTTGTGGCTTTCATTCATATAACAATGTTTCAGCATGTCGCCACGTGATTTTAGTAGACCGGATTTTCAGTGCAGTGTTTGTTATAAATGGTTCCATCTTGAATGTATAGCATTCAACATAGGGTTTGTCTACATTTTCAGTAAAATAGTCTCTTTTTTGAAGAAAGGCGTTACCTTTCCTAACAGCTTACCATTTCATGTGTAAGAAGTGCAACCCGATCGGGGAAGAAGTATTTTCCAGAAAGCAGGCGAATTTTACAGTTATGTGTCAAACGGCTCTTGCCAACTTGATGTTGAAGCATGGAGGGCGTTTGTACTTCATGGAAATGAAGGAACTCATCCCCTTTTTAGAGGAGTACTGGGAAGAACTTACAACACAGCCAAGAAGGTCCAATAATTCTTGGTATCCAAATATCCACAAAACTTTGGTTTGTTATGGTTGTTTATCTATTACCACAGACTAGTAGTGATGTATTCAAGACGGTAGAAACTTCAGATGGTCTTTGTGTATGTCTGTCGAACACTGTAAGTATCTTTTTTCTTCAAAATTTATTGTGTCATATGCATACTATCTAGTGAAGCTTCCTCAACATCTTGGTGGAATTAACTACTAATACTTTGGTCACAGTATGACCACGAAACCATCTTAATACATTGTGCTTAACCACTTTTCTGGTTGTACAGGTCTCCAAGTCTCTGTGTACATTTATAGACTTAGCCATTGCTCTTAAGGAGGTGACGTAGATTTGTCAGCAGAAAGATCGAAGACATTTAGTGGATCATAGAAACGTAACTTGCAGATCCACAACTTGAAATAAATAGCCTACTTTACGAAGTTCACTGTTCCAACTATTTTCGGCAGTATGGTAGAAATAAATGTTTTGTATGGCATATTCTCCTATTGTCTTATTGTATCAAAATATTTATGCATTATAAACAGTACATAGATAAAAGGTTGTCGACTTCCAACAGACAGGTCGTAGGTATGAATCCCATATCAACTACTTCATTTTAGCAGTATTACTAACCGCCATACAATATGGTTCAAAGTAGACTTAATAAGTTTTTATTTGCTTGATGCTTTACTTTACTTGTTATTAAAAGCACCTAGTAAATCTACAGCAACCAATTTCCCTTGCTTTAAGTGTAGTGTCTGACCTCAGGAGTACTCATTGGGTGATTTCATTGCAGACATACAGTATTGCGAAAACAGTTAATTTCAACCTACGTGTTTTCCTTTAGTTGGTGATTTGTGACTTGAGAGTAAAAGCAAACTGCGTATAGTCTTTCCGTCTTTTGGTAAACAGTATCGTTAGTACTATAGGCGCCATTTGGTCTTGTCATAACCTGAGATCCTGCGATTGTGAAGTTCCTGCTCTAACTTTTACCCAATGCATACATGCTATTATTAGAAACTTTTAATAATCGTAGTTTGTTCTTTTAAGTACATAATTTACCTAAAATGTACCAGAGTTCGGTATCAAACTGTATCTTTATTCGGTTAAGTAGATCCATCTGTTTTGGCCATGGCAGATTAAGCATATTTTAAACTTTGGCTATTTAATCTTCTCTAGAAGAAATTAGGAATATTCAATTTGTAAGCCTATAAAGACTATAAAGGTAAGTTTTTTGGAAGTGACACATTCACTAACGCTGCTTACATATAGACCAAATTTATGTTTTAGCAGTTTAATCAATTTGTTTCATTTGTATGTTTCTAGGATCTTACCAAGATTGGTCCAAGTTATGATCGATTTCGTGCTCTCACAAGTCAACTTCGGACAAATATTACTAAACTAGGAGTTCCTTCTGCTAACATACCAAACAGTGTGTCGCAGACCCAACCATCTATATCAGGTTCCGTTTCTGATGCACTTGACCAATCATCAAATCTTACTTCCTCTAATAATCAGTTGCCTTTCACCAATGAAGCCGATGGCATAGATGTGCCTGTTTGGCGTAAACGCAAATCTCCTGGCAGTGGGTTATCTGGTGGGATGGGAAACTTTTACAATGGTTCTTCAGTGATATCTACTGTTCCAGGTGGATCATCAGAAAGTGCAGCACTTGGTACTGTGACTAATGCTGATGTCCCAGGATTCCCTGGTACTAGAACTGCTGCCTCATCAAATGGTGATGTAAATAATGGATTATCCAGTGGTCTTGTACGTTCAACTCGTCGGGCCACTTCGGCATCTGTTCTGGGTGGGACCACACCCTTAAGTGGAACTTCAGGTTCTGATGAAGGACGTGCAAAGTTAAATTCTTTAGGCTTCCCGATTGATCATGCACTAAATAAGGAAGGTTATCGGTAAGTTTATTGTTCTGGATATACTCTCAACGTTTGTTTGTAGTTAAACTTTGAAACAACCCACCACTGTTCTAAATTTTACAATTAAGGCATTTAAGACATTATGGAAAATATATTTATCATGAAGTTCTTTTAGGCCCATCTCTAATTACCAGAGTAGAAAAATATAGACGTTTTGTAGACGGCAGTAAACTCTAGTGTATTGAAGTAGTCGCCCTGTAGTATCTTTTGGATGCTTAGTTCCAAAACTGTTTATTATATATCTTCCTTTATTACCTAAAAGTTCTCACATTTTGTTGCTAATACTTCTTCACTTAACTCACTATTTACAGAATGCACCAATTAATTCTTAAGTTATGGTTCAACATTTCGTCTCCACAAGTAACAAAACGACTAGGCCAACGTACCATTTGATTTTGTAGTAAGTCGTCTAAAGTTGCTATACGTCTTAACAACATAAAAGCACAACACTTAGGAAAGTAAGTAAAAGTAACAAAGTTAAGTGAGAACAGGATGAATGTCTGAGTATTACGAAACATGTACTATTAGGACAGGCTTCTGGGAGGGTATAAAGAGCTAATTACGAACTCAACTACCATGCAATAAAACTAAGAGATGTACACATTCATAGATAATGTCACGAAATGACTAAGTAAACAACCATCAGAAGCCAGAAAGCGTTGGACAACTGTTTCATCCTAGCTTGGGACTACAACAATTCATATATATATAGTTACATACTATTTTGTTTGATTCCACCAAGACAAAACAATGGTGTTGTTAGCTCTGATGCAGTAGGTATTGCCCATAGTCAGTTATTCCAAACGTTTCCTGACGCTCTTTCTTATGGGACTTGGAATCATCTTGCTTACTTCTAACAACACTTTCTGTGTGTAGACGCTTTTTTACAAGTATCTTATTATTTCACTTCCGAATCCCAACCCATCAAGATTTAGGTTATTTAAATGTCTACCAGACCCAGATTAGTGGGTAACATGTATATTAGCGCTTTTTCAGGAAATGAAATGTCTACGATTAAACTAGCTAGTGTGAAGTTAATAATGATATAAACTCACTTTTCATCATGAGCTATCACGCTGCATACCTTTCTGCAATTTAATTAAGTAAAAGCCATGCAAATAAAGGTTACCACCTGATTTCGTTTATTTACAATCTCAATCAGCTTTCACTCATCTCTTAAATAAATGCGACTCATCTATCAAGTACATGTTTATAAAGTGGGGTTTGAACAAGTTTGTGTGATATATATTCCACCGTACTGTACATCTCGTAATTATTTGGTTTAAAAATTTTTTAGTTACATTTTGGTGGAACCGGATAAACATGCCTCCGGTCGGGAGCAGTGGGACGAATGCGAGTTTACAGCTGGGAAACCCATACCTGGTCTTTTTTATCGTGTGTTTTTATGCTCACAAGTAGTTTTATCTTTGAGTGATCGGGGTAAGCTTAATGTTACTGTAAAATACTTAAACAAACTCTTCAAATAACTTTTGTCTCAGATGAAATCTGGGTTTTCCAATTTTTTCTTGTAGTAGTTTGCCTAGAATATCGTCAGGGTTTTTTTTGAAATCTGTTTAGTTTTTTTTTTAAATGACGTATAAAATCTGAACATTATAAAGCATGAATAATGGTTTCTTAGCTCAGGTTGACTTTTCTTTGGGAGTGTAAAACTGGAGATATGTTAAAATAAGTCAGTGTACAATATGTTTATTTCGAAAAACGGGTGCATCTCGCCCCCTAAAATAGGTTTTAAGTTGTCATCTACAACAGTTTCCGTAGCTTAAGCACACAGTAATTCCGTAGATTGGTTTTATTTCTTAATTTGACAATACCGCCTCGGTAGACATGATATGACGTAGAGGCCTGTTTAACGTACATGACATTGAAAGCGTAAACCTAGGAGTTCAGTGTATAACAACGTCCATTGGCAGATTTTGTACATTACTTGTGGCGCTCGAATTTCACGAGTTCTCGCAAGCTGATTAAGTGTCATTATTTTCCAGTCTGGAAAGGTATTATTTGCTTAACTAACTTTTCTTTTGCTTTAGTTCACTGAATACATTTTTCTGTTAAAAAGTTTTTCAATTATGCTAGCATCTACAACTTAAGTGTTAATCTGTTCTTATTCCAAAGATGTAGATATGTATAATTGAAACGCCTATCAATTTGTTGAAAATTCCCAGCAATATATCTGATAACCTGTCGGCACAATTCTATCATTGTTTTTGACAAATATTAATACTTATTTTAAGACTCGAAATCGAAGGAAAACAAATTGTAGTAAGTTGTAACATCATAAACACCAGTAAATTTATTTATTATTCACTTTGATCCAAAGAGATTAAGTAGATTTTATAATTAAAGTGTCTTCCCCTTCTTATTTACATGAAAAAAAGACATTCGAACACTATTTTACCTTGGGATGAGTCATTTCATGAATAGTCCAGATAATTAGAAATTCTGTATACATTGAACTTACTAAGTTTTATTATGTATATTGTTTGTCTTCGTTAATAGCAAATCATTTGAAAGTTCACGAATCGCAGTTGTCAGTTACTGGTGAGAAGGGTTATTGTATGGTCCGTGCCACTCATAGCGTTAATTCCGGTACTTGGTACTTCGAAGCAACTATCACAGAGCAACCAGAAGGTTCTGCAACTAGAATCGGTTGGTCTCAAATGTATGGTGAGTTGTCGAATATCTATCATGTTTGATGATAAATGGTCAGTTTCTCAAAAACATAAGTAAATTGGGACGTTAGTTCAATGACATAAGTAATGAACTTCTATCTTCATACGCTTCCATATTAATAAATAAATGCCAACGTATACCTCAAATATTGTATAGAGTTGAGTTTTTACGGTATACAGGTGTATATTGAATGTACTGAATCAAGTGTAAAGCAGGTGAATAGCATTAAGGTAACACGAAAATTTCAGATGTACATTGCTGATGATTTATTCGTCTGTTATCCTGGTGAGCGTTTTAATGTGTGCTTTTAAAACCCAATCAAGTATATGCTATCTGATTAAATGTCGGAATTAATGTAGTATTGGTTGCTAATATTTTTTGGATTAAACGGTTCTGTCAGAGTTAGGTCATTCATAAAGTCTAAGATATTGTGTATATCAAGAGTGTTGTTCTCAGGTATGTCCATTTTTTAAACATCACTTTGGTATAGAAGTCGCTAGGACCAAATCAACAAGACATATCCAAACCATAAAAAATCAACCTTCAAAAATTGCTACGTATATTGAGTCGTAATATTCAGTTTCGTTAAATATATAGTTCTAGGCTTTATATTTACTTATACAGTATCTCCGTAGAGTGAAGACAGTATTTTGGAGCTGATGACCCAACAGTAGATTGTTGGGTATCATTGGATCAAGCCGGTAAAGACACTACATGTACACAACAATTTAGTTGTACGAAGGTACTCGAAAAATGCCTTTACGTGTTTCATTCGTTTGAATGGTATTATATAATGGTTTCGTATTCGAGAATAGCTTCAGGTTTTCTACGTTTAAGCTACTTGAATTACGTTAAAAGAGCTGGATACATAACCGTATATTTTATTGTCCCAAGTGTTTTACTATCGGGCTTTTAAATAGCATGATACATAATTAAAACTTTCGTATGCCAATACACTTTTTATCGATATACTTATTCATACTTCCACTATATTTAACCATTTAAATATCCCACTCTGTTTTATACTCGATTTACTTTTTGCTAAACACTTAAATCTTTTTAGCTTATTAGTTTTGATCATTTAGCATTTATTGAATAATTATATTTCAGGCTAGCTGTATTGTAGATGATTGATACGTGTATTTATGTACCATTTCCTACAACTAATTACCTTTATTGTCATCTTTATAACTACAGGTAACTTACAAGCACCTTGTGGCTATGATAAGTTTAGTTATTCTTGGCGTTCACGTCTTGGCACCGCATTTCATGAGTCGCGGGGAAAACATTACGCTGATGAAGGTTATAAAAAAGATGATGTTATTGGATGTATGATCTATTTACCTTCAACTACTGGTCCTTTCACATCGTTAGAAAATCAATGTTCAGAGTCTTCTGGACTGTTTAAAACGCCCCAAGCGAATTCATTATCATCTGTGGCTGGCGACATTAAATCCAACTTAAACAATACATCTAGTGGACAGAATATGAATAAATATAAAAATTTATTTTGTACTTCCAATTATCTTCCTGAGACATATAAAGATCGTGTAAGCTGATCTTTTGATTTCAATTCGAATTTTATTCTTTTTCAACGTTTTCGAGATTTTGCAATATATTACCACTGAATCATAGTATTATTTGAAGATCAACCTAACGTGATGGCTTCAATGTACCATTGGCTATTAATGATATATCATTAAATCTTTTTAACATTCACATTTTAGCACTGAGGTGGAATAAATGTATAAAATGAGTTTGTTTGTAGGTATGTATAATTAATTGTTGTCGTCTACGAAAACTCTATCAGTCTATGTATTTTTATCACTCTGGATAACCATCACTAATCAGGAAGCATTGGAAAATTGCTTTGCTTGGGGTTAGGAACTTTCGAAAAAAAGAAAGTGATGTGAGGTATGGAAATCTGGGCTGATGGACATTAGCGGGACGTCCTACGTCTTATACGATTGATTGGTATACCCTTTACTCTGTACAATATCATATACCGGACCTTCAGTTTTCTTATGATATTTTACATAACTATTTCTAAATTTCAATTAAGATATCAGTTTCTAAGCTTGCTATGTTCCTATGCGCATATTTCTTTTGATGTATATAATTATCTACATAGTTTATTGTCTGCTCCATTTAAATAATATGGTTAGACGAGGAATGAAATTTCATATAAGTGGTATATCATATAACTGTATTTACGAAATTAATCCTGATTTCAATAAATGTCATGTAATTTTTGGCTCTTGTTTTCCTCTACTAGCCACTCATCAGATTTCGGAATTCTTTTTACTTTGAGGAGAAGGATGAGCCGACAAAAGCGGAAAAATTACTTCATCCGTTGCCTGGTAGTAAGGTGAGTAAGAAGTGTTTAACCAATGGATTTTTGATTATTATGATACATGTCAGTATTTCGAATTTTAAAATTTGCGACGTTGTGAGCTGTTGTATATAAATGTCTTAGTTTTTTTCGAAAACATTTTGTCTACCAAGTTTGTTTAGACATTGATAAATTTGTGAAGTCTAATAGGATAGATTCCTATTTCAGTGAAAGGTGACAGTTTTAATCTCATTTTACGATATCTCAGATGTTGTTATAATAAGTTTGTGAATAGAAATAAGTAAGTGTTACTATAAAAGAGTTTGGGGCAGACTCGTCAACTTACTGCTAAGGTATCAGATAGTTATGGATTTTGTACAGTAACAGTGCAAATATCATATCAGTTATTTAACTAAATGACTATAAATTTATTTCTATATACCCTAGAGTATTCAAGATCTAAACTAGTCTAGTCAGTGTAAATTCTTAAATAGATCTGTATTTCCTACTTCAGTCTCGGGATTTGGTTTTAAGGGTGTCATATTACTGACAGTGAATTAGCCATCAGCGAACAATATATACTGTTAAGCAGAAAGTAAACTGAATTTTCCGGCTTGTTAATGAGGACACAGTAATTGTTTTTGAATAAGTGGTCAGAATAGTCCACACAAGACATCCAACTTGGCTACGTTGACGATTAAAAACCATTCAGGCATTCATACTGTGATAAAGTGTTCAACGTGGTTAATTAGAGTCAAATGTATATAAGAAAAACCTTTAAGTCATAGAAATTTTCCACCCGGACTTTTTTCAATTAACATATAGTGGCGATATCTACTATGACTTATATAATTGGTCAACGTGGAAATTTATAGAAAGTGTGTAAAACTTGACCAGTTATGAGTTAACTAATATTAACCATTTATAATTGCAGATAATCTTGTAGATAATATGCATTAGTTTCCTTCAAATGTTAAACTAGAGTTAACACAGTATAGTCGTACTTCGAAAGTGAGATGGACTCTTGTTTGTTCGTTTTATATTAATTGTTACTTTCTGATTCTCGTATTACTTCTTTATGTTTATAGACGTGACAACATATTACTAATTTATTTTGATCGAATTCGTAGGGAATTTTATCGTTTTTGTCGGTAACTTAGAAGCGTTATATTTATTTCGTAGCGTTTGTGTATTACACATTCTAGTCAAATAACATCCATGTAATCTAAAAGTATGTTTAAAAATGTTAAAATATCTTATCATGGGTAAACAGATGAAACCAAAACAAGACGTGTTTAAACGGGCATATTTTAGCGTTACTATGGGTTTTATCTTTCAGTCCTTTTCTCATTACTTCTGTAAGTTGTGGGTAAGTGGGAATTCTAAACGATTTAGATCAGTAATACCATTGTTTTTTCTTCATTTTAAGATCATCCAGTGTAGTGAAGTTTTCATTATATCAACGACTAGATTTTTGACAATGTCCACTTTGACTCATTCTTTTTCGTATGTTAGATTTTCTTAGTTAATTATTATATTAACTACTTTATTGTTAGGTTATTCCTTTTTTTAAAAAAACATAGTAGGAATAAATAGTGTTAGTAAAAAAAGTATGCTTGTTGATTAAATTTCACTGCAATCACTTGTCACCATGGATTTTGGCATTACTGTTGTCGTCTCCATGTCTAGATTGTATTTCATTCAGCTCTCCCTGATATTCCATATGATAATTATAGAACATGTGTGTTTAATAATCGTTTTTTGTGTGACAATATGTTTCATTAGACAAACACTGATCTGCGTCCGTTAATAATCGCAAATCCAATATTTTCTCGAAAACAATTTCTTGTTGCTGTTGTTCTCAGTTTTCTTAAATAATCCACTAAGACAATTGATTGGATTTCTTTTCACTCTATTAAATGCATAAAAAGGTTCAAGTGTTTCTTTCTTTCTGTCCTCCTGAAAATAATTATCTTTTCTTTCTAAATCTCTAAATCCGTTGTATCTTTTGTCCAGCTGGTTGTTTTTACGGATCACAATTAGTATCGTTCCATTAAGTAGAAAAAAATGAAAGTGGGTGGAGAGTTTAATTATTTTTCTTTCTCTTTTATCATACACACTGACAGGTTTTGAAAATAAAACTGTTCATATTGGTGTCATAAATTTTATACGCAGTTGTATTTGTTTCTTGTCAAGTTCGTATATTTAAATTTTATTTTATTTCCGATTCTGCATTAAGATAAATGTGCACGTTATGACCATGAATTCAAGATTTAGACGTTAGTCTTGTAAACTGAACTATTTGTTTAATATATTACACTACAGTTCTTGTAATTCGGTGGGGCAATTAATTTTTTTCAAGACCGTATTGACACTTTTGTTGGATTCAGTTGTCCTGTGTTAATTGGTCCTGGTAATCTATGGAATTATCGACTATCGTTTATCTGAATCCCAGTGAAGATATACGCTTCTTGATCAACTCGTAACTAAATTCTCTTATTATGAAGTGTTTTACTTAAATTATACACATTCTTACACAGTGATGCTGTAACATACGTTTAGTACAAAAAGTTTTTATTCATACATCCTGGGTTATAAGCGTTTGACGTAATAATAAGTGAATATTTATCTATTTGAGTTTTCGAACTGTTTAATCTGATTTCGGGAATAGTGTGTATGTGTTTGTGTGTGTCTGGGTGTACATTTCTTACATACAATGTATTCTTAGTTTTTAATATATTTTCAGATTACGTTCTACCACAATGGTAAATGTATGGGAGCAGCTTTTACGAATATCTATGCAGGCACTTATTATCCAGCAATATCAATATATAAATCTGCTACTGTTTCTGTCAATTTCGGTCCATATTTTAAATATCCTCCGAGTGACGTAACAGACTGGGAACCGGTAAGTGCTTTGCAAAAATCATTTATTTGATAGCGTCGAAAGAAAGATAGAAAACTTCTTCAATGTGGAACTCTGAAGGTTTAGTATTAAGACGGAGTTGATCTTCATCTGGCACCCCTGGCTCACTTCTAGATAATCACACAAAGCTTTTATCCACCCATTTTCACTATTAAGAAAATAGTTAGTTATCAGTCTGCAATGCATAATTTTGCATGATTGATCCCATCGATTTTTTCTTTCCTTTTTCTATGGTTCCAATTAAAGATTTATCTCATTCACTACAGATTTAATACTTCATTGATTAATTTAACTTTTTAAAAGCTCTTTTACCGTTTACTTTTCGACTAGTTGTACCATACGTGAACGATGATCGTAAATGGGCATAATTGATCAGATATCTATATTGACCATGTAACGTACTAGACTACACCTCTATACTGGTATATTATCCCCTAGTTCAGTAGAAATATAGGTCGTTAAATTTAATGTGTTGAAGTGTCTCGTTAGTCCTTAACCCTCTAGAACTAGTGCAGTTGCTCAGATAACTGAAACTGTTGCTACCATACATCTTTTTACTTCACCCATAAAGTGTCGGGTTCCACTTGTTTGTTTCAAATACGTTTGTTAGTATGTGTTATCGTTTTTATCTAAGTGATAAACATCGCGTACGTGTATTGATTCGATTAAATACTATCATTAATTCAGTATAGGAAAATTCAATAAATCAGTCACTCCACAAAAGAATGTCTTTCTTAATGGTCTTTTCAGTGGTTAGTTGAGTAGTATAGTAAGAAATCAGTAAAACTTTTGAAGTTTATCGTGTACCTAATAGAATTTTAAGTGATCTGCTATATAATTTTTCAGTGTCTACTTGTTCTTGTTATTAGTAGTTTTTTCTTGTTTTCCCAGATGTCTTCTCGCGTTATAAGCGCTGCTGTTGAACAAACTGTGGCAGATATGATCTGTTTAGTAGAAAAAGACGGATTCATTGAGCGCACAATCAAATCATGTACTCCTCAATTTAATTAACCAAAGGCTTTCAAAAAGTATGAAGATTTAATTCTATCTTAAACTCGTTTGTAAGTGTCAAGAAGTTAATTTTCCTTCTACTAACTCTACATCGTCATCTCTTTCTGGTTAGTGTGTATTCATTGAACCTGTTTTCTATCTGATTATTGCAAACTGAACTATTCAAGCTTAATTGTTGTACTCATTCTAAAAATTTTTTATGCATCTTGTTCATAGAGTTTTTATATTTTCATACGCTGTATATTTATCTATGGGTTTATTTTATTAGGTATCATTATTGATTTGATTCTTCATAATGTTTCTATACCTTTTTATTCACTATACATGTCTATGTATGTGCTTAGGAAAGAGAGAGTACTTGTGAGCTTTGTATCTGTTTGTAATGCTGTTCGATGATGATTATCATCCATCATGGTGTTAATTTTTCAATCTTCATTTCTGTGTCTTCTTTTTTCAAAGTAAAACAGTAACAAATATATATTTATGTACCATTTATGTCGTTCCTTCAAGTAAAAATTACCGGGTCGGTTTTAAAAGAATACAGACTAAAAAATTCCATCTTGTTAGATGATAAACGTATATGGGTCTAGAATATTAGTGATGGTTAAAAGAATTTTAATAATGTAGAAGTATCTGAATCCCTTTAATATTGAATGATAAATATTTTATATTGAAGAATATAGATTTTTTACATTTGGTTTATTTGCTAAAAAATTGGTAGTCCTCGTAACATTCTAAATGTTAGTAATTCCAACCTAAAAAACCTATTGTGATGAAGATCACACAGGTAGTAATGGCAAATATTTCGGCTTTGTTTTTCTGTTTTCAGTCTTTCAGGTTAGCGTTCCTGTTTTCGTGTTTATAGAAATCTCATGGAATTCGTCTCATTTATTATTATATATTTACAAATCCCTACCTTTAGTGGTTACTTCAGTTTATTTGCGGACCTTGTCAACTTGATGATAAATCTTTTGGCTTCATTTTTTTAAACGTTTCCCTGATTTCCCTATACTCCATTAGGATAAATAGACGATCCCCTAAGTTTTTAATTCGAGTTTTCTCATCATCTCATCCTCATATGCAAAGCATTGTTGCTGCCATTACAGCTACGTAGTGGTTACTTTTACAAATTTTGTATGAATTATTGGCATTATAATTAATTAGTATTGCAAGTCTCGCTTATCATACCGGTGAACAGTAAAAGCGTCATAAAACTTAACATCACTCTTAGTATCTCTAAAATGAGAGGCTGATCAATTGCGGTCTTAAACATCGATGGGAAGATACAAACAAACAATACAAAATGTATCTATAAAATGTGCATCATTTAGCTTCAGTTCATGTCAAAAGTGTTCCCATTAACTTCTATATAGATGCAACTAATGTACTGATAGAACGAAATCCCTATCCTATCACGTCGTATGTACCAGTTGTTACACTTTGAAAAATTATTTGTCGGCATTCGTTAATTTCAAGTGATAAAATGACATGACAGTCAGATGTTAAATGTTATTGATCTTTTTACCAAACCTTATTTTAACTACTGATTTATTGTTTGACAGTCAATTCGTAGTATTATCTTGATAGTATCTCTGTTGATATAATTTGACCAGTAGATCAAATGTTTTCTTTTAGAAAATTCAAGGGGTTAAAATTTATAGTTTAGATTATCCAGCATTTACGTATAGATATTTGCTAGTCAAATATTTATGAAGTATCAATCATTTCGGTTTGTTAAAATCTCCTTTGTGTTACCAGTGCATTCTGACCGTGTAGTTAATTCCCTAATACAGAAGCACTGAGAAAAGTAATTAGAACGATTCAGAATAAACTTAATCATAGGTGCATTTAAATTCATATCATTTTGTTACATATTTTCTGTGGTGTTAAATCATAAACATGTATTTTATCTATTTATTTATTTGAACACATAAATATTGGTACAAGAGGGCACCAAATATATATGCGCCACACAAAACAATGAGAATTCGAAAAGAAAACAAAGGTGAGGAGCGTACAAAAAACAATAACGAGCAGACTAGTGTAAGGTAGTGGAATCAAAATAATAATAATGGGGCAAACGGAAGGGTACAACCAGAAGAAATCCTTTAGTTAAGGAAGATAAAACCACTTTTTATGAAGAAAGTAAAAGATGGTTACAGCAGGATCGCCACTGGCTTCTATTCTGAGCCATATGTGATAACGTCTCTAACCACTATGTCGCACCATCTCTCGGAACCCAGCCAGGGAGTAGTGCTGCACTAACAAAACTCAGCCCTTTGCAGCTTTCTTTTATACCACAACACCATGTCGTAGACTGACCACCTTTCCACTTTATTCCAACCAGCCCCAGCGTCGTCAAATAGTGCACGACGTGGAATTCTCTGAGACGACATTCGTAGAACATGTCCAAGCCACCGAAGTCGTTGTTTCAAGGTAGTGACACCAATTGAATTATCGTCGCTACGCCCGAACACACGATGCCGAACCTCTGCATTACTAACATGGTGTTGCCACTGGATGTCGGCAATCCTTCGGAGATAACCATGATCGAACACAGAGAGTCGTCTGACATCCTCGACTCGGAGAGGCCAGGTTTCACAAGCATAGAGCAGAACTGCTCTCACCGACGCGTTGTAGATCCGATCTTTTACACCCATACTAACATCACGAAGGCGCCAAAGATGGCCTAGATTGGCATAAGCCGCTCTGGCTTTCGTTATACGTGCATTGATGCACGAACTTCTCGACTACTATCCGCTCACTACCCAGGGTGAGTGGAGGTTCAGGGTCCCGCCAGTCTTATAGGAGTACTGTGCATTCGGAAGGTGTAAAGTATATACCATATCTACGGACACTAATTGCCAACTGATTGAGTGAAGATTGCATGGTTCAGGTATCATCGCATAGTAAGACAACACCATCCGCATACTGAAGGTCAGGAAGTCTTTCTCCAGGCGATAAATTCACACTACCATTACCTACATCCATCAAAACTGTTTCCAGAACGTCATCGATAGCAAAGTTGATTAAGGATACCGACCGTTGCCGCTATCTTGACGTGGTGGTCGGGCTTGCCTTTCGTGATGAACCAATCGGGCTATACTGGCTGGAACAGTCGTTCCTCAAGGTCCTGCCATGCCGGACAGGTTGGTTGAAGAGCGATAAGACTAAAAGCAGCAAACCTAAGGTCAGAGGACGAAGTTGTGCTGCGGACTATACAGAGGTGTGACGGCAGTAGGGTGTTTCCTTCAGGCGACCAACATAACAACGATGTTGTCTTCACACAAGGAGGGGTGGGGTTAGGAAAGGTCGACCTTAAAAATGAACATCTCGCCTTATCCTACAGATTTCCATGTCCGGCCGCAAGGTTCCAATAAGTACGGTGTGGGCAACCAGGAAGTGATAACTGCCCTAATACCTCTAAAATCACTCAAGATTACTGACTGAATATGAATGGTGAGATTGGGAAACCCTGTCTAACCCCACTGCTTGAATGAAACAATTGAGAAAGGTGGTTGTATGCCCTCACTCTGCCTGAGGTGTTTGTATATAGAGCCTTTAAGATGTTAATAAACTTCTCAGGCACACCCTTCTTCAATAGACAATCCCAGAGAACAGTCCTGTCCGATGAATCGAAGGCAGCCCTGATGCCAAGAAACACTACGATTGTTGGCCGGTGATAAGTATGACGGTGTTCTAACATTTGGCGGGGGTGAAGATATGATCAATACATCCTCGACCAGAACGAAAACCAGCCTGCTCCTCGCGAGTCAATCTTTCTCTGGTACTGAACAACGTACGAAGTACGACGGAAGCCAATAGCTTGGACGCGATCGGAGGTAGACTTATCCCTCGATAGTTGATACAGGAACGACGTGAACCCGTTTTAAAGATAGGGACAACTATCGACTCATTCCATGACGTTGGTACGCTCTCTAGTTCCCAGACCTTTGTAAACAACGTCGTCAGTTCCTTAGTCAGAAAGTCACCACTATCTTTAAAAAGAGCCGGAGGTAAGTCATCTGGGCCAGGTGATTTGTAACGCTTCAAGAGTTGGAGTTCCTTGCGGACTTCCACCTCATTTGGTGGATCAGTCGTCACCGGCCATGGAGGGTAGGACAATCTGAACGATGTTGCCGGAGCAGCAGGCCAGTTGAACTACCCTTCGAAAAATTCTGCCCATCGTCCAAGACGTCGATGGATGTTGGTGATTGGCATCCCTTCATCCTCGTAGTTTGTTTCACTCACACCAGACTTCTTGCTGCTAGTGGCTCGGATGAGTTGTAAGAGCTTCCGGTAGTTACCAGATGCAGCTGCTGCTTCCGGCTCATTAGCACACTCCGACCACCAGGCTTCTCGGTCCTTACGCAAGCTTTGCCCGATTTCATTACGTAACATCCTTCGTTTATGGTCAAACTCACGGTCACCCGGAGTAGAGTGACGGGCTTCGATGAGTTGTAAGGAGCCTGGAGAAACCCTGTGCTTATGAGCTGGACGGTTCGCGAAGCAGCAAACGGACTTTACTAGCAATTTTCATGACGTCATGAAGTTGCGACCAATGCTCATCTATACTTTTCGGTGGAATGGTATCTAGCCTAGAAGCTAGCTCGATTCGATACTTAGTCGTAACATCGGCGATGACTGTGCCGAAAGTTATTGCTAGCTAGAAACAGGTTGTGGTCTGTGCACAGTTGCAGTAGACGGTCGCCGTTATCTGTCCTGCGACCAACAAGTCCCCATTGGCCACCTAAACGATTCTCTTCTGTGCTCGACCTGAGCATTCAAGTCTCCGGCTAGTACTACAATATCTGTCGAACGCACTTTCTGTAGAACAACTGTTAACTGGTCGTAAAGTTCATTCTTGATTGCATACGGGCTGCAATCTGTCGGGGCATAGGCGGAGATGACGAAAAGACATCGTTTTTCACGCCGATTTCTTTTCGCTTTGATGGAACTTTCTAATCTAACAGCACATAACCGACTGTTAGTGGGGATCCAATTGAATAGTGCTGTCTCAGCTCTAGCACTTAATGCGACACCAACACCAGCAAGACCAGACGAAGATGCCACAGGGTCCCCGGATAAACGCACGTGAAACAAGCTTTTCGAAGCGACAGATGGAGAGCGAAGTTAACTAATATAGAACCTAAGATACTAGCCTCAATAATTATCGGGCGCCTAATAAAAACCCGTGAACTGGAAAAGTGAGAAAATTAGGCTGGTTTCAGACCTGGTCGTGGCTGCATCGACGACATATTCACCATTCATCAGGTTTTAGAACACAGACCTACAAGTAGCATTTGACTCTGTAGACCAAGAGGTTCTGTGGAAGTGTCTGTCATTGAAAGACGTACCTTAGAACTACGTAAACCTTGTGAAGGCTCTTTACTCGAACACTACTAGTCGAGTCAGAGCTTATGGCGAACTGTCATCTGATTTCGCAACCTTAAGTGGTGACCGTCACGGCTGTCCACTTTCTCCATCTTTGTTAAACTTCATCATAGATCTACTGATGGAAAAAACGTTCTCGTCGTTCGAATTTTCAGGCATTGATCTCCTACCAGGAGGTCCATTTATCGACTTAGAATACGCAGATGACATTGTCCTGTTTGGTGAAGACGCTGATAAAATGCAGTCTTTTGGTAGCACTAAGCAACAATGCCAAAATGTTTGAGATTCGCTTCTCCCCCTCTAAATGCAAGTTTTTGCTTCAGGACTGGTCTGTGTCAGCACCTGAACTAAGGATAGGGAGTGAAGTAGTCGAACGCGTCGACAACTTCACTTATTTCGGAAGTTTGATCAGCCCTAATGGGTTGGTGTCTGACGAAATCACCAGAGTCTTGAATACGGGTCTCGGATAGAAATAAAATGTCGACATTAAGACTTTCCAAAGACATAACCAGCCATATCTGTTTTCCGACCCGCGTAAGTGTGCGAACGTTGAAGGCAGCCAGTTTGAATGGTGCATGTGGTTTCAGGAAAACTGCCTCAGTATTCGTAGTTGGTGGTAGCATACAATTTTCAACCGGGCAGTGACTCGAGAACGTTTAGATAGAACCGAGTTTCCACCATAGGCGAGCTGCTGTGTAAGTCGGAAAATAAGGATACATAAAGTGGGAATAAAAGAGAGTGAATAAATGACGTAAAATAATAATAATAATAATAATAATAATAATAATAATAATAATAATAATAATAATAAAGTGAACCGTTTGATTGTTAATCGAGGCAAGATAAGTATTTTTTAGAAATATCGACATTTCATAATATTTGTGTGTGGGCTGTGATACTGCCCGGGTGCCCAGACCGAAGCTGGTGGTTTTCTTAGGAGGCCACGACCGAAGACTTTGACCTAAACGTCTGATACACAAGGCAGTGAAGCAACGTACGGTGATGCAGTTCCATGGTAGCCGGTGACCAACGATTAGTTCATACGTCATTTGTTCCCACAGCATACTGGAGTCCATGTGCACCATTGGTTTGAAATCAGGGTTTTCCAACTCCCCTAGGTGGACTCACTGTGTCCACCCACCCGGTTAAAGCGCCGGACATTCGCTTTTCGTCCTCTCAACTTCGTAAACAACACCCGTGGTACGAGTATGCAGTGAGTAGGACTTCCCTGGCAGAGACTGTATACGCGTGGTCATGTGGGAGCATTTCGAGAGGGAGAGATGACTCTCCCCATTCTCGGTCGTATCAGGGCATTTGTGGGGTAGAAGCAGCACCTGCACCTGGTAACTACCGGAAGCTCTTACAACTCATCCGAGCCACTAGCAGCAAGAAGTCTGGTGTGAGTGAAACAAACTACGAGGATGAAGGGATGCCAATCACCAACATCCATCGACGTCTTGGACGATGGGCAGAATTTTTCGAAGGGTAGTTCAACTGGCCTGCTGCTCCGGCAACATCGTTCAGATTGTCCTACCCTCCATGGCCGGTGACGACTGATCCACCAAATGAGGTGGAAGTCCGCAAGGAACTCCAACTCTTGAAGCGTTACAAATCACCTGGCCCAGATGACTTACCTCCGGCTCTTTTTAAAGATAGTGGTGACTTTCTGACTAAGGAACTGACGACGTTGTTTACAAAGGTCTGGGAACTAGAGAGCGTACCAACGTCATGGAATGAGTCGATAGTTGTCCCTATCTTTAAAACGGGTTCACGTCGTTCCTGTATCAACTATCGAGGGATAAGTCTACCTCCGATCGCGTCCAAGCTATTGGCTTCCGTCGTACTTCGTACGTTGTTCAGTACCAGAGAAAGATTGACTCGCGAGGAGCAGGCTGGTTTTCGTTCTGGTCGAGGATGTATTGATCATATCTTCACCCCCGCCAAATGTTAGAACACCGTCATACTTATCACCGGCCAACAATCGTAGTGTTTCTTGGCATCAGGGCTGCCTTCGATTCATCGGACAGGACTGTTCTCTGGGATTGTCTATTGAAGAAGGGTGTGCCTGAGAAGTTTATTAACATCTTAAAGGCTCTATATACAAACACCTCAGGCAGAGTGAGGGCATACAACCACCTTTCTCAATTGTTTCATTCAAGCAGTGGGGTTAGACAGGGTTTCCCAATCTCACCATTCATATTCAGTCAGTAATCTTGAGTGATTTTAGAGGTATTAGGGCAGTTATCACTTCCTGGTTGCCCACACCGTACTTATTGGAACCTTGCGGCCGGACATGGAAATCTGTAGGATAAGGCGAGATGTTCATTTTTAAGGTCGACCTTTCCTAACCCCACCCCTCCTTGTGTGAAGACAACATCGTTGTTATGTTGGTCGCCTGAAGGAAACACCCTACTGCCGTCACACCTCTGTATAGTCCGCAGCACAACTTCGTCCTCTGACCTTAGGTTTGCTGCTTTTAGTCTTATCGCTCTTCAACCAACCTGTCCGGCATGGCAGGACCTTGAGGAACGACTGTTCCAGCCAGTATAGCCCGATTGGTTCATCACGAAAGGCAAGCCCGACCACCACGTCAAGATAGCGGCAACGGTCGGTATCCTTAATCAACTTTGCTATCGATGACGTTCTGGAAACAGTTTTGATGGATGTAGGTAATGGTAGTGTGAATTTATCGCCTGGAGAAAGACTTCCTGACCTTCAGTATGCGGATGGTGTTGTCTTACTATGCGATGATACCTGAACCATGCAATCTTCACTCAATCAGTTGGCAATTAGTGTCCGTAGATATGGTATATACTTTACACCTTCCGAATGCACAGTACTCCTATAAGACTGGCGGGACCCTGAACCTCCACTCACCCTGGGTAGTGAGCGGATAGTAGTCGAGAAGTTCGTGCATCAATGCACGTATAACGAAAGCCAGAGCGGCTTATGCCAATCTAGGCCATCTTTGGCGCCTTCGTGATGTTAGTATGGGTGTAAAAGATCGGATCTACAACGCGTCGGTGAGAGCAGTTCTGCTCTATGCTTGTGAAACCTGGCCTCTCCGAGTCGAGGATGTCAGACGACTCTCTGTGTTCGATCATGGTTATCTCCGAAGGATTGCCGACATCCAGTGGCAACACCATGTTAGTAATGCAGAGGTTCGGCATCGTGTGTTCGGGCGTAGCGACGATAATTCAATTGGTGTCACTACCTTGAAACAACGACTTCGGTGGCTTGGACATGTTCTACGAATGTCGTCTCAGAGAATTCCACGTCGTGCACTATTTGACGACGCTGGGGCTGGTTGGAATAAAGTGGAAAGGTGGTCAGTCTACGACATGGTGTTGTGGTATAAAAGAAAGCTGCAAAGGGCTGAGTTTTGTTAGTGCAGCACTACTCCCTGGCTGGGTTCCGAGAGATGGTGCGACATAGTGGTTAGAGACGTTATCACATATGGCTCAGAATAGAAGCCAGTGGCGATCCTGCTGTAACCATCTTTTACTTTCTATATAAAAGTGAACGTAACATCTCTAACTTAAAGGATTCTTTCTGGCTGTATTTTTTCTAGCGAGACTGTTACTACTTTTATGATGATTATTCTACTGGCGTACACTAATTTATTTTCATTGTTCTTATTGTTTTATTATACGCAGTTTACATTCTCTATTTCTTCACAACTTCATTTTCATTTTGTAGTGCACATATATCTAGTGCCCCTTTGTACTAATTTTTACGTGTTCAAATATATAAATATCAAGATATGATTCTTAACTTTCATTCACCAGTGAAATTCTGAATAAATTTTAGTATTATAAAATACAACTGCTGGTTTTTACAATTTTACTTTACATTTTACTGGTCGTCCAGACTGTTATTACCCCTTTATTAGGTAGTTTTGAACTTTTAATTTGATTCAAGCTTAGTGTTATGTAACCTCTGTAGAGAAGTCGAAATTCCCATGAATAGCTGTAAGATTTTGAGGTTTTTCCATATGTACTTCAATTCAACAGTCAATAAAAAGGAGACCACCCTGGCTGTTTGCTTGCTTTCGGCTACGCGAAACCACAGCCTTTGTCCCCACATATTCTGTAATCGCAAATCGAACATTATAAAGTTTGCTTCCGTGCGCTTCATTGTCAGTTTCTATACAAGTTTCCCAGCTTGGTTAGTAGACCACTAATAATTTTAGGTATTTCAGGTTGAAAATTTTGAAATTTCCCAAATAGGAACACTTTCGTATCATTTTTGAGTAGTTTGTCCTAACATCACCCAATGAATAAATTCTTAAGGAGTTTATTTCATTATTTTTATTCCAATTGGTTCATAGTTAACAAGCCAATCATAAATACAGGTTTCCCCTTTTCGATGTTTTTTATCGCGTATTCTGATTGGTTTTTTGTAATAATTTTAATATTTAATGGGATGCGCTGCTTCGTTATCCAGTCTATTTATACCTTGAAAGATTGTCTCCAATTCATTTGCACATTAAATTATCCATTCAAATAACTAACATCTAATTTGTCAGCTCATTTTCATAAGTTGGATACACTTTCACATTTAGTAGCCGAACAAGATCATGTTTCATCACTACGTGTTGGTATCATTCTGTTTTATAGCCTTCACGTCTGTTCAGCATATCGATGCTACCGATGATAATTTCGTTTCCGCAAAGGAACAACCTGCTAAATTTGCTCCCATCAGACGTCATATAATGAAACGTAATTATTTATGGGATTCACGTTTGGGTAAGCGTTCGATGAATCGTGAAGCATTTCCATGGTATAATCATGATCTATATAACTATTACAATGATGATAATTTCCGAGGTTATTATACTGGTTATGATGACTAATAATATAAAACAGTTTCGAAATTGAAGAAAAAACACGAGAGAACTAAAGCATTAAAATTTTTCAGTTCTTATTATAATGTAATGTATTCCACTTACTCTTTATATTTAAAGATGTAATAAATTAACAAAACTACTGGTTTGAATGCATAAAGTCTATGGAATATTAGAATTTTGTGTTTCACTGAATATAACTTAAATGAGCGATATTAAACCGTCTTTTTGATTATCGGAGCGAAGTTTGAGTGCGTGGCACTGAATAAGGGTAGCTTATGATTATATTCAAGGAATATTTTTACGAAACAACATTTATATACATACTTATTTACCATTTTATAAGCTGTTCTAAGTCTGTGAATGATCGAAAAAACAATCCAGTTTTTTTCAATCGCGAAATGTTAAGTAAGTTTTAACTGACTGTTCACTTATAGTCTAGTTTCACAACTCTATGCAACCGACTAATTGTCCAAAATATACATTTAATTTTGTAACGTATTTTAAGAATTCTACCTAACGAATATCGAACCTCTTTACCATTTTCGACCTGCAGAACAAAATGTCTTGTTTATTTGATCTTCGGGGTCTGTATCGATATAACATTCCGTTTCATCTTAAGTGTTGTTAGATTTATTAGTACCGTCCAGAAAATTAGGATTGCGACCCATTAATTTGTGAATGATCTATTAAAAATTTTTAGCATTGAATCATCAGACGAAATTTAGTTTGGCGGAGCAAAATTCCTCCTCTATATTAAACGATCCCTCTTCAATTTTAGAAATATCTTGTTATATTGATGGTTAAAACGTCATTTTTAATATTTAGAGAGCACTTAATGCTTTGAAATTGTAGTCTTTTCAGTGAAGCTTATCAAAAGTTATTGAATAGCTGGAGAGATTCTTGTCGAGGTAATTAGAAAAGGCTGAACGATGGTGTAGCGAGTATGTGATTTATTTCAATTCTCACCCATAAATTTGTTTGGTTTTACAGAAATAGTTATATTAAAGTGCTATAAAATAAAAGATGTAGGTTCGCCTAATATTGTCATACTATAACATTCAAAATCACCTAATTAATACTATTGTTTTTTACTGATTAATCCGGATGCTGATTACGATTTTGCTGGTAAAATAACCTTCAAACTGTTATCGGTAAGCTCATCTGTTTAACATACGTTTATAATATAAACTAAGATATTGCGTTAAAGTAAATTATGTAATTATAGGATGCTAAGTGATAATGAAATGGTAGGTACACATTATCATTAGATGTCATCATTCAAATGAATTGAAAATATTTAAGTAAGCAATATCTTCTCAAAATTATTGAGCCTTCGGATGTTGTAAAGTCACCTGTTGAAAAAAGGTTTTTCAATAACTAGAGTAGTTACGTGTCGGAGTGAGAAAATTGAATTAGTTTTGTGTTAATTTTGCTGTAGTTATATGCAACGGCTAAGTTATTTCATAAAATGTTGATTAGGTTCATGTACTAGGTGTACATTTTTTGGAATTCTAATTAGTAATCTAAGTGTTTAATGATACTAATTCATATATTTTTATCATTTAATGCCACCATTGGTACAGACTAAGTTGATGAAAAGAGATAAGCGTAAATTTAAACACAGGGTTATTAGTCATGCACTTAAACCAAGAACCTAGCAGCTTCATGAGGTCTGGTCAAATCGATAAAAGGATTATGACTTTTTCAGTTCCAAATCTATTAAGCCCCTTTTTATGTGTAAAACTGGATTACTGAAACTATCTAACTTAGAATCAACACTGTTTATTAAAATAATTCAGTTAAAGATAGTTGTAAAATGTTTATGACAAATGTGAAGAGGTCAAAACATGTTTTCGTAGCCCTGTTCGTATAGAGTTGTTTTCAAGTTGTTAATAAATGAACGTAATGCAGATTTTCACATATGGACTAGGGAAGACTTTATTTCAAGTCTTCTGGATATTAATTGGTTATTATCAAATGAGTGATCCATGCTACAAAGTAAAAATGCACATTCTGCAAATGATGTTTAGTATGGCAAATTTATTTTACAAACTTTTATCAATGTTTTCGTTATTTATATGGAAATTAATCTCACGTACATTACGTTAAAAACTGAAAGTCTATGAAACTTAAAAGAATTGCTCATGTTTACTGAATCAAGTTGTAAGTAGCTAGAGGACTGCACTTTTCATTAAGGCCTGAAACATATTTTGTCTTCAGATTCAACTGTTATATTGATATAGTAACTATCTTCCTGGATTATAATTTAAGGATTGAGAAAGACGCATAAGTCTACAGATAGTATATTGTATTCAAAGTGATTGTTATCAACTAAGAAACTTCTCGTTTGATTTTTAACTAGAAAGATAAAATGTGTCAATTAGTGTTAATTTATGTAGGTGATGGTTGACGCATTCATTATTGAATAGTTCCGTTTTGTCGAGTTGGAGTAATAAACTGATTTTATCTAACTGGTTAGAGTTTATACAATAAATATATCTGAGATTTTAGAGATGGTTTTTGCTTTGGAGCCCGAACAGCTGAATTCAAGACGTTTTGCAATTTTACACATGTGGAAAGGAAAGCAAATATCCTCTTATTTTCGATGATACTAAATTCATCTTACATCTATTTTTTTCCCTCTATTTAAATAAAAAGCGTTCTCGATCACCATGTTATTTTACTAAAAAAGGTTGTGAAGGGTGTTGATAAACTGTTCTCACTCAGGGAAATAAGAATTATTATTAAGAGTTATTCATCTTAATAGTAATTCCGTTGCCATTTCGTGAATTGGTTGATCCTAGACATTAACACCGTTGGATGCCGGATCAGTGGTCTAGAGGTTAAGCGGTCGCGTGCAAGACCGATAGGCCCTGGGTTCGAATCCTGCGGGAGGGATCGAGGGTACGTACCACTGAGGAGTCCCACAGTAGGACGAAACGGCCGTCCAGTGATTCCAGGTTGTCTATGGTGGTCTAGCTTTAAATGACTCATGAATTCAAATACTGAAAAAAGAAACATATTAATATTAATAAAATTATTATTTGTGTTCAGAAATATAAAAAAATGTTTCATTGTTTTTTCTTTGTTGTATTTACTGGGTATGTGTATATTTTTTTTTATATATCAGATTTACGAGGCAAATGAAATGTATCATCTTATAGTAAGTGTATATTCACAGACGAACTGATGTGTTTTATCGATTTACTTCTAAGTATATCTTTCATAATGATGACGGTATTAATAAATTTTTCTAACAGTATAAAAATATTTGGAGAATTTAGTGGTCCTATATCTGACTCCATGTGGATCGTTTCTGATTGCTATTGAAATATACATCACGACTATTGTCGTATTTGATTTATTTAATTTTGTTATGAATTAATGCAAGTTAAGTCGATAATTATATACGAGGATTGACGATATGTATATTTGAATAACGATCATAATACGATCCACCTGAAGCCAGATACAGGGGGCACGAGTGGTGACCCCGATATGGGGCTCGAACCTATGCCTCTAGTGAGGGCCACAAAAAGAACACCATTTGTATCATATAATTAAAAAGTAAGTATACAGCAATTGCAGAGGCTTAAGTGTAGTCTTTTCAGCTTATGGGTTTTACATTTAGGTATTTAAAACTGGAGAACAGGTTAGTTTAATTTGTTTTTTAAAAGGTTTAACGTCATTTGTAAAGTAGTCTGCAAATGACTGCATAAATTCTGGGCGTTACTGTAGTAAGACCTTTCAATGATTAAATATCAAGTTGTATTTTGATTTCACGCATCTGTAACATTTTCACTTTTTTTTCAGAATTTAACGTAATAAAGTAAGGTATACAGTGAGGATTATTAAAATGTTACATTTTTGATAAATATTAATTGAGATCGGAACGTAGTAACAATGAAATAAGGACTGAACATCAAGTTCAGTAATCCGTAAAATTTCATTTTCTTGAGAATAATGAAACTTTTATTACTGAATTTGTACCTATCTTTATAGCTAATTTGGAAAGGCATTGTTGTCAATATCATTACAGAATAATACGCAAAAAAGCTAGTTGGTGTTCCATTCAACTGTTGGAAATCAAATAAAAGATTGATCTTATTTTACCAAAAGAAGACAATTTCCTATATTTTTGTGAATTAATGTTGGGACAAAATGACATTGGAGTAATTGTCCCAAGTAAAACTGGATAATCAAATACTTTATACTCAAGAGTGTTTTTATAAGGTTGGTGTGTTTATTTATATAAAAAAGCATAATCAATCATGTGGAGAGACTTAGCTGACAAGAATAACAAATCGTCTGAAAGTGATGGTGTACTTTTGAGCATAAAATTAGTATTTCACGGTTGTTTTTATGTAAAATAAATAATTAAGCAAATCTTCGATAGGTTTTTAGCAAACGAAATAATTTTTGAGTCCAAATGATTTTGAGTGTCTAAGTCCTCGAAGTTATATCCACTTTTGATTGACTGATTGACATGAGCTTGGGTTATTTTAAATCAATAAATGTCATTCTTTAAACGTACCATAAGCATTAGAAACAAAACTTAAAAGTCTAACTTAATAATTTAAATATTACTATCATTAGTAGTAAGCTTTGCAGCTTATCACTATTCTGTTTTTGAAAGAGCTCCATCGACTGCCAACAAATTTTTTGTCAATTAATATATATATATATATATATATATATATATATATATATTCGGGTCCAGGAATGGACATCAATTCTGAGATGCAGGTAAATCAAGCTAACTAGTCTCAAGTAAGATTAAATGTGCGTCCTGGATCCTACTACTAGCCACCATCCATCTTTGCTTAGAATGCTTATGACTTAAGGCAATATCGAGGCAATCCACACAGGATACACATATATCAATAAGAGACTGATCATTTGCAATCCTAAGCATCAATGAGAAGATTCAAATAAACATTACAAAAATGAATATATTTAAGACAGTTTATGAAAAATAGCTTCATTCGTGGGTATATCTGGTCGGGCATCTTTTATTGACTAGTTTATTCAAAGTTGGTTCCGTTATATGTTCAAGGTCCTTATTACGCTTCTTGATGAAGATGCCTTATTTCGTCATATAATTACATTTATTAAATGTCGCGTACCACATAATATTCAGTAAGATTTATATATTTTATTGGGTTGTAAAATCGTTCGAGTGAAAGCAGTGCAACATCTGGACTTTCAAATATGATCATAAAAATTCCAAGAGTGAACGTTGTTTCTCACTATGTGATCCATTCTGAATGGCTTGGCATCAAATAAGTATCGTTTGTGAATGGGATTTATTGGTTACTGGTTTACACCAAATATGAAATAGTTATGGAGCTAAACGAAGAATAAGTAATAAGTACTGATTAGTTCAGGTAAATAAACAGGGATTTCCGATTATATTGTAAAATTTCCTATGGCAATATCCTGTCGGATTCATTTACTTTACAGAACTTTTGTCAGCTGAAATGGTGGAGATGCATGTCACATATAATTCTCTATTTGTGTACAAAGGAA